CATTCTCCTAATAGAATCAATTAAAATTTCACTAATTGATTCAGTGATAATATCATTGATTTGCAGTGAAAAAATGCCTCTCTTAAAGTTAGGTGTCAGTAACAGATTAGTTTTTTTTTTACTAGGAAACAGTTAAAACTTCGCTGATTTACTTAGTAACAAATAGTTTTATTTAGAATTAGTAACAATATCACTGAATNCCATTAACATATTAGTTTTAAAGTAATTGATTGCGAAAGTTTCAATGGTTAAATTGATAGAGTGCCCGCTTGGTAATCAGAGGGTTCCAGGTTTCAGGTTCGAATCCAGTCGAGATGATTTTCTAACACAATGGATTTTTTCTACAAGGTAATACTAAGACAACATAGAGAATAACCAAGAAAACTTACTCAATAATATAAATAAAGAATCTAAGTCATTTTTTTTATATTATAAATGTCATTTTGCTATCAAATCGTGTTGCGCAGATCTTGCTTCATATTTGGCGTCAATTTGGTCTCAAGTCATGTTATCAAGCTTTGCTCGGTTTTTGGTAGCAATTTGCTGTTACTTTTTGTCGACAAGCTTTGGCAACAAAATCAAAGCCTAATGCGGACACAGTTGATGCCAATTTGTTGAATATTTTTGCTTAAAATTGCTGACAATTTGCTGGCAAATTTTGCGAACAAATTGTTTACTGGGTATCAATGAAGGAGTATCGAATGCTATCCAGAGACGACGCACTACTCAAGCGTTTAAGAGAAATCGCAGTTTAAAGTTTTACATAAATAACGTACCATAAGTAACGTTAGAATAAGACGATTTTCGAAGTGGCGGCGTATCACAGCGGCAAGACGTCGTGCTACGAGTCTAGAAGTAATGTGTTCGCGTCTTGCTGGTTTTGTAATTTTTAAATAAAAAGAATTAAAGAAATGGCAATAACAAGCTAACACCAGATTTTGGGTACAATTCTTTTATAATTCTAAGATTTTAAAAAAGTTTTAACAAACGTTTCAATCCACTATAAAATCTTCTTCAGTGTTTTAATAAAAACTTACCAAAGAATAATGATCTATTCAAGATCATGAAGAATATAGATAAGACAAAAGATACGCTACATAGATATTCAGTATGAGAAAAAGAGAGGCGGAAATGGCAGTTACGTAGCCGTCAGCAGTGTTTACAGTTTTGGCTTCCTTACAGCATGTTAAAGGGTTGTCTACAATGGAAAGTTGTAGGCCGTAATAGTAAAAAATTGACTAATCACAGACAAAGTACAGAAGAATAATCGATTGTGATTTGT